TTTTACGATAATTTGGGTGTGACACAGCACAGCACATACAACCACACATGTAAATTACAATTAACTATTATAATATGATCAAGTGTCCTCTGTATACGATTTAGGCACACACGATGGTGCAGATCAATTATTTTTTGTCATTAACATACATACATACATACAAATAACATGTCATTTCATTATGTTTATAATTTTCATTTATTTTATTTTTAGTTATTATATTTTTATTGTTACATTTAGTAATTCGTTTCATTGTTCTTCTCAATTTGCCTTAGATTTTATTGTGCAAGTTTAACTGTTTTGTTCTTAATTGATAAATTTAGCTGCAATATATTTCTATGTATGTGTTCTTCTGCCATTTATTAATATTTAAATTTTAAATTCGTTTCTAACTAAATACAGCTAAAGCTTTTTAAATATAAATAACATTCGACTGCAATTAAAAATAATTAATTCGTGGGTGTAATGAACCTGATAAGGAAAAAACACATATTTATATGTACAAGTATTTGCAATATACAATAAACACGCTTGGAAACCACAAATTGATTTATGCTTATAATATTTAAATGAACTTTGGAGCAATCAACACCGTTTAACAGCAATTTTTGCACTACAGTAAAAATATACATTTAATAAGCCGCTTAGTAAAAAAACTCAATAAACTTAAATTAATCGTTATATGTTTATAAAAGATCGAATAATTGAAAAATCGATCAAAAAAAATCGATTTTTTATTGCTTTATAAATTATAACTTCGTTTAAGTAAAAACTCGATGAACTTAAATTAATCGATAAATATAAAATAGATTAATTGAAAAATCGATCAATATAAAAATCGATTATTTTTGGTTAAAAAATTTTAACTTTTTTTGCAGTTCTTGGTAAACTTTAATGCTATCATTTAAATGATTAAAAGAAATAATTTGGAGTCATCAACACTGCTCAACAGCAATTTTTGCACTACTGTACAAATATACATACATACATACTCGTATGTATTTGGGTTTCTGAAATTAGTTTTAAAACAAATATTTAATTGCAACTAATTACCAAATGAACATACGTCGATTTTAAAAAAAGCTTTAAACTAAAAGATCGATGAACTTTAAAAAAAGGTTAGTTGAAAAATCGATAAATATAAATAATCGATTACTATTGCTTTATAAATTATAACTTAATTCTAGTAAAAATATCGATAAGCCTAAAATAATAGATAAATATAAAAAGTCGATAAACAGTAAAATCGATAAATATAAAATATCTGCTATTATAAATTTGTAAATTATAACTTTATTTGCAGTTTCTGGTGAATTTTAATATGTTTAAATTATTAGTAAAACAGTAATTTGGGGCAATCAACCCTCTTCAGCAGCAACTTTTGAACTATTATATATACATATATGTATGTACATATACATATGATAGTGTTTTTTATTTGGAGTTTCTGAAATTGAAAATATAAAACTTATATCTAATTGCAACTAATTACGAGATGAGCATAAATCAATTACTAAAAGAAATCTGTCGATAAACTTACAAAATCGATTAATATCGAAATCGATCATTGGAAGAATATTTTCAGTTATTGGTAAACTTCAATGTGTTTCAATGATGTCATAAAAATGTAATTTCAGCATCCTTTCAATTGCAACTCTGTTCAGTTGCCGTATATAGACACTAGTCGAAAAGTAGATATTTCGCGGTAAACAAGTAATTTCTAACTGTTTTTCAACAGCTTCCCTAAAAATATATTTAAAATAGTTTTTATTCGATTTTTTAGAAAATAATAAAGATCAAAAAGTTTATACAAAAAATTTATTTCGAAATAACGCATCTCTAAGCTCCACTAAAAGCGCCCCTACAAGGAACATGAAACACTACTTCCTAGTTCATTAAGCTCAGGTAAAACTATGTCATCTCTGCTTAAAGCTTGATCGAATTTCTTTTTTCATTTTGATACCAGGCGTCTTAGGTAAGCCCACAAATTGAGGAAGCTAAAGCTTAGAAATCTATTATGAGCTTCAAGTAGAGTTTAGCAGAACCTTATTCGTGACACAAATACTTTCAGACATTAGTCGGAATTGGTATCGAAATCTGGTTTTGCAACACTTTCAGCTCAACGAATAATACATTATTATTATAGATCTCCTTAATTTTTGTTCGAGCTGCCTCGATGTTTTTATTTTTTGCTAAAACAATCTTCTACAGCTGGACCTTCATAGAAGAAAACTTAGTTTGTTTTTTCAATATTTATTTTTACAATGAAACATCTTTAGTGCTTACGATAATTAAATATTACATAATATTATATATGGTATCTAAACATTCTAATCACAATTTCATTATTTTAATATGTATTTCATGTATTTACAGTGATTAATTCATTTTTATATTTTTCAACTCAGATTTCTTGTTTTTTGCTTTTATTAGTTTTGTTTCTCACAATTTATAAATAAACACATTTTTTCATGTACATTTTTTTATTAATTTATTCTTGACGATCATTCTTACATGTATATATGTATATATTCAAATATAATATATATATATACATCTGGTTTACATACATACATTTGTTAAGTGTGGAAAGATCAGCGTGCATTGCATCCATTGAGTTACTGGTGGCATTGATTTCAGGTGTAAAGTTCAAACATTTAAAATATTAGTATTTATGTATATTCATAAAATTGGAAGTTTGAGGGATACGATTGTGTCGAAAAACGATGATAGCTTTATTTGTGTGTTTATATGTTGACAAAAAAATATTTAAAAAATAAAACAAAATTCGAAACAAATAAAACTTAAATCCAAAATAAAGTAAAAAATAATAAAAAAAAATATTTAAAAAATTAGAAAATTTTATTTCAGAAATTATTTGAAAAAACTGAAAGCTTTACAATAGAAAAAACAAAATAATATTATTTTGAAACTAAAAAAATGGTAAATAGGAGGTTAGAATAATTGAAATAAAATTTTGGAATAATTATGAAAATTTTTTAAAATAAATAGAAGGATTAAGACAACAAAAAATGTTGAAATAAAAAAATTAAAATATAAATGTAAAATTAATATTGAAAACAAGAATTTAGGGGTAACATGGGCAGAAAGCGAAACTTTACAATTTACGACTACTTTTTACGATTTTTCTTAATTGGCGGGAAGGAAGGAAGGAAGAACTTAACGTCGTATGGAATTAAGGCAAGGTTTATTATCTTTGGCATTAAATTATCTTCTATTAAAACTAAGAAAAGCCAAGCTTCAACATATTTTCAAACAACATAAAGTCAAAGTTTTTTGGTGAAAAATCACTTTTTTCAATTTATAAAAAATTTAAAATTTTTTTTTGGAATTGGATAAATGCACATGCGAGATGCATCGGGCAATTGCTTCCCAAAGGCAGAATATCAATGATTTCGTATCCAAAAAATTTATTAATGATGTTTAAACATATACCACAATAAACCCTAGAAATTTCGCTTTAATCAATTATTTCTTTCCCTCCCAAAATAATAAACCCTAGAAATTTCGCTTTAATCAATTATTTCTTTCCCTCCAAAAAAACTCCTCAAAATAATCGAATTTTTATAGCCTCTAAATCAGGCTCCCCCCTTAAGTTCTACAACACCTCTAGAATATTGCTCTAAATTTTTAGGTTGATCCGAGTAATAGTTATGGAGATACAGCTTGTTGGCTAATTTCGCAGATTATTATATGCGTTTTACTCGAAACTGTGTTTTTGAAGTCGGTTAATAAGATTTCTTGAGAACTACTCAACCGATCTTCAATTTCACTGAAATTTAAATTTTTTTGTAAAAATGTCTGCCAAAAGTTTCCTTCGTCCAAGTCCTAAGTCAAGATTTTAACTAAAACATTTATTTTTTTCCACTTTAGATAATCCAGTAAGGAGTTATTCTATCAACGCGGGCGAATATTTTTTTCGAGGGGTCATCGGAAATGGCGTCGCAATGGCCGAATTTACAACATTTTTTTTTTTCAAAAATTTCAGTATTTCTTTGTTAATAGTGTATGTTTGTAACAATAAAAAAATCGAATAACATATTTCAGTTTTTATATGAGGAAAAAATTGTTGAAAAAAGGCAATTTTTTACCCGAGGAAACCCATGTAACCCCTTTAGAAACAAAACAAATACTTAAAAAAAAATAAAAAAAAGTTCTAAATTTTGAAAAATTAGTGTATAACGAGATTATGGGTAGCAAATTTAATTAAAAATATAATAATAATAATAATAAAGAGATTAAGTTATAGAAAAATGCTACACAGATTTGACAAGCAACAAATCAAGGAATTAAAAAAAAGTGCCAATATCCAATAAAAATATATAAAAAAATTGTAATTCGAAGAAAATTCACTCAAAAAGCGACACTTCAGTATAAATATATAAATAATTTATTCACAAAAAATTAATTCACGCTCTTTTGACTTAAAATTTATTGTAACGGCTGGTTTATATAAAAAGAATGTACACTTTGAATATTGTTGAATTAAAAAAAAAAAGTTTTGTTTCGATAAGTTTATTATACTTTAAAATATAAGTAACGCTTTTTACAATTAATTTAAATTGTTGTAAAATAAAAAAAGATAATCATAAGAAAAAAAAATTTTAAATGAAATAAAAATATAAGTCATAAAAATACAAAATTTAATTATAAATTCATATGTATGTACATAAATATATGTATGTAGGTTTGTATATACATTTAGGCTTAAATTAAAAGTTTCCGAAAAACTTTTTAAAATTCTCACGGAGTTTTTTGCTTTATTAATTGCTGTTAGACGCAGTGGTGTGAGAGGTGCATATATATGTACTATGTACCATATGTGTGTATGTACATGTAAAAACTTCAGTTTACAGCAAAACATGCGCCGAGCGAGCCTAGAATTTCGAAGTGATAGGAATACAGTTATATTTTCACAGAACAATTCATTTACAAACAAAAAAACCTAATTACAACAATATTTATATAGTATATGTTTATTTTTTTTTTTTTTAGTTGATTGCTGTACTAAATTTGTATTTGCATTAACTAGTTACGCTTTAACTTCGTTTCACTTTCAATTCAGTGCTCAGCACCTGCCTTTGTACTTAAAACTAATTCGTCCAGCCCGTCCAGCAGCACATCCAACGCAGGAACGTTCCGTTGTCCCACTTTACGCACGCTCCGGACATTTAGTTTGCACTATGTTCGGTTTGGCGCCAACCGCTAGTGTTGGTGCGCTTACCGCGCCCTCTGGCAACATGGCCGTGTGCACAATAATGCCCGGCTGATCTTCGGTCTGGGGATGCAGCTCGTGTGATTCGCCGGGCGTTAGGCTGGCCAACGCCGCCAAGAGATCGTGATTGACCAGCGGCTCGTTCTCTTCGCGTGGCTCCCAACCGGCTGGCGGTGAAGCTGGTGGCGAGATTAGGAATTGCTTGACCGGCGCTGGTGGTTGTAGATTCTTATTCGAGACTGGCGTTACGGGCTGTGCAAAGTAACAAGTTATCGTCGTCTTCTTATTAAATTCATACTGATGCAATTTGATGCGTGCATTGGCTGCTGCTATGGCATTGTCATAGTTGACGCGCAAACGTCGGAAGCTACGTAACCACTGGAAGGTCGCCGAATCACAGAAGGTACGAAAGAGTTCCTCCATTTGTTGTTTCAGTTCTGGATTGGTAAACACCTCCGAGTGTATATTGGTCACAATTATGGATGTGGGCAAATCGTCGAAGGAATCCGGATCGACAGCTTCCTTTTCGCTGTCGCTGTCTACATCGCCTTCGGGTAATGTGGGATGTTGGCTAGGTAAGCCATCGGCTTGATTTATGTATATATCTTGATCTGGCGAGAGTTTGTCGTTGCTGCTGCTGCCGTCGCCATTCTGTGTTGATTTTAATTTTAAGTTGTTGTTGTGATTCGTTTCACCACTATTGTTGTGTGACGTCGCCTCGTCTGATTCGGAAGGTGGGGTGTTGGCGCGGGACGCCGACATCTTCGACGTGTCTCTGGTGAGTGTGTTTGTGTGGGGTTTTAAAATTTATGCGGAATTCGCGAAGTTCTTGAGTGGGTTGTTGAAATTCTGAAAATATAAATAAGTAATGATTTTTAGTTTGCGGAAATTCAAAAACAAGTTTGCTAGTTATAATTAAACTGAAGTAAATAAATAAATAAATCGTAAATATCGTGTCCACAAGGTATAAAACGTATAAGAATCTGACACGTAAGCCACTTATTAGTGCTATTAATATTGTGTTTCCAATATTTTAATATTCAAAATAGTAGGATCTCGATTTTTGAGGTTATGATTTGAAGACCTCTAAGTACTGCCCCTAAATACTCCATCTTTAACTCGCCAGTAGTGTAGTGAGGCACTTCCGGATTTGCCATACCTCCTTTCGTCCACTCTGACGAATTTTAGTTGGAAACTCCTGTGCAGGTTTAGTGAGAGGGTTATAAAGTTTGAACTTATGTCTCAAAGGAAGACAATATCAATTGTTTTATGGACAAAGGCTCGTTCCCACTTCAATATAAATGCAAATCTCTTTCACTCTTGCAAGTAATAAGCTCAATCATTACTTTTGAAGTAAATATCCAACAGGATAATCTTTATAAAGCTGTATTATCTACTGTATTAATGTCGTGGTTTTGAAATGTTATCAACGAAATTTTGGGGTTCGTAGAATGTGAAACGTGGAGTCTCAGAAATGCCTAAGCATATTGCACAAAATCTTTCCAGGAAAAAGTCCAGTATACTTTTTTCAAGGATGAGAAATACTTATACATAAATTCAGTCTCAAAAACCTCTCTTAGGTAAGTTTCGTGATCCGGTGGTTAAAAATACGCGCTACCACTACGAAATACTTGGATTCAATTCCGTTTCTAACCAGACCTTTCAGACAATAGAGGAAAATCAATCAAAAAATCAGTGATTAAATTATGAAAAACCTTACCTGGTTTGAAAATCTTTGTGTTAGGTATATGGGAGCTACGGGAAGTGTAGACACGAATCAATCAATTTTTGACACACCGACTTATCATTGTCAGGAAAAGATTATAACTGAATTTCAATTATATAGCTCAAAAATTGACCGATATTTGCGATAAAAAGTGAACTATAGGTGCCGGGGTCCTAGAAGCTTGAACGGTTTTGTTCTTTATACGTCTACTGCTTGTAGGAAAGGAAAAATGGCGTTTTGTGGGCGTGGCATTGGTCCGACTACGCCCATCTACGAATTTACTTTTTTGCCAAGAAACATGTGTACCAAGTTTCATCAAAAATGTTTTAATTTTTACTCAAGTTAAGGGTTGTACCTTTGAACGGACGCACGAATAAACATAAAACAAAAGACGATTCCGATTCCAATACAACGTTCTTAAACTGTTATAATCAAATGTGTGCAACCACAAACATATTTTAGCAAAGACTCAACCAACTCTTGCGGCTGCCACTTGCTACATGTGCACATATGTATATTTGGTATGAGAAATAGGCATTTCCATGCCGTCTAACGGGAAATGTCATCAGTCAGCAAACTATTCACTTTTTACACAATCAAACAGACCAACTTCCTGCTGTGGTCGCTTCCGGAATGTGCCGTTGCGAGAGTGTCTCTACTTGTGTCATTCGTGTTAGCTATTTTTGGAAATTTCATCGGAAAGTGAGTAAGTCTGCATTGTCGACCTTTATATACATACTATATGTAAGCACGAAAATGTCCTTCCGCTGATGGCGGAAAGGTAAGTAGATCAGTGAGCGTATCCGGTAAACATTGTTGCCCTTTTATTTTGGTTATCTTGTAGCTGAAGAAGACAGGAGAAATACTTGCCTAAGTGCAACACTATTGGATGAAAGTACATATTTGTGTAAAATACAGTGAAAACACTTAGCAATAATACCAAATTTGTAGTCAATACCAACTAATGGCAGGTTAATTCACTTAACACTTTCACTTCACTTGCATTTGTGATAACTGGAGAATAACTGAAGAACTTATATAAACACATTGGTATAAATCGAATCTGCCAAACTCTGACAGTTGAAAGCTCGTGGAATATTAAAAAGGCTAACAAAACGGGCTGGAGATTAGAACTAGTTATAATATATTTTTTATTTATAACTAATTATTAGTCAACAATTTATGAACTACAGTTCTCCAAGTTCTTGGGTAACTGTTGTCTAAAAGAGACATTAATTGGTATCCCTTGTAGCCTAGATTAGATAAGAAAGGGTATTTTTAGTCATTCAAAACTATCTTTAAGGTTTAAGGCTTATCATCAGGTTGCATTATCAATTTCTGTCTTATTCAGTTTTTTCTCTCTTATGAATTAAGACCAAAACTTGCACAATTAAAACAAAGAAACTTTATACATTTATATTTATTGATATATTAACTATCTCCTCAAATCAAGCCTGTAATTACATATACATATATATACTAAGTATAATACATAATATATGAGTCATACTTATTTTCTTAATGAGATGTGCCGACTACCCCCGTATTTCGTGTAGAAATGTAATCGCACGAAAAATTCCATAGCTCGTAAAAGAAATAATAAAACAAAAATAATAAGAAATATCTTTATTAGAGGATTGGTGGATTGGTACACAACAGAAAGCATAAAATACTTTCGCAATAACTTCGTATCGAAATTAGATAATAACCCCTGCCAAAAGCATACGATAAAAGCATATTTAAGTATTCACATATCTTTAGAAATATTAGAAGTGAATAAAATTGCAAGACTTCCATACAACCAAAACTCAAGCTTTATTGAGAGACAGCCACCATTACTGTAGTAAAAATATCAGACGAGACCATTAAAAATACAATCTCTTTTAGAATATATGATAGTGATGGAAAATTTAAACCAAAATTTATCATAATTGAATTTTAAATATAATAAATTTTTACATCTACATAACCTTATCATTCTATATTAACTTTATAATTCTCTATAATAATTAGTATATAACAGAGATCAAAAAGATGGCATTACTAAGAAAATGTGTCCACAGAATTGAATTAAAAAAAAAATTTCTGGTGACATAACCTTCAATAGACAAAATCACGGCGTTCGAACAATTGATTCGTGCCGCAATTTTTGGGAATTAAATAAAATTATCTTGCGTTAACACGAGGATAATTTATTCCTCAAGACTAGGCTAATTTATTCCTCAAGGATGAGCTTCATATGCTTTCATACATAGACTAGTGCAGAAGCCTTTAAAAATGATAAAAACAAAAAAAGGAGAAAAGAAATTCATGGTAGGTTGAAACTTACCGAATACAGTGTGTTTGGGATAAAAGTTGCGGGCAAAAAATAGTAAGACTTTTGAATTTGAATGGGGCGCAAAAACTCATTCGTCGAAATATTTGTTTATAGGTTGGTATTACTGTCAGTAACATCTGTGCCAAATGTCACATCAAAATATAATAATTATTAGTGTTTAAGTATAAACTCGCCTCTCTACAGTACAAAATGTGCATTCGGCGATTTTTACGATGAGTGAAATTATGCAACAAACAAGTTCCATTCAATTTTGTGTGCGGAATTAAATTTCTGGTGTCGAAACGTTCACAATGTTGCAAAATGCTTTCGGTGGTAATTGTTTGTATCGAGAAAATGTTTTTCATTGGTAGAAATTATGCAAAGAAGGTCGAGAACGCGTTGACGATGAAACACGTCTGGGACAGTCATCAACATCAACTGATGATTAACGCGTCAATAAAATAAACGAATTGGTACTTATTGGCAGCGTTGGAATATCGGAAAGATCTGTGAAAACATTCATGAACACATAATTTGGGCATAAGTAAAGTAAATGTATGATTGTTTCTACAATTCACTAAATTTTTACCAAAAACAGCATCACATTAAGGTCTCGAGGTCTAAGAAAACAATGCTTTCCGATACCAGGATATCAGGAACTGTATTATTACCGGCGATGAGTCTTAGATCTTTGCTTACGACCCGGAAACACATAGTCAATAGGCCAAATATCGTAAAGTTGAGACGCAGGCGAAACACGTCAAAACAGGTCAAATATCAAGTTTTCTTTGACTATCGAGGTGTGGTGTACTCCGAGTTCTTTTCGATCGGCCAAACTGTCAACAAGGAATCCTATTTAAGTGTTTAGCACCGTTTGCGCGCCGCTACTCCTTAAACGATGTCGGCATTGATCGTTCGTGAGTTTTTCGCCAAATTTTCAACCCATATCATGCCGTACGCATTCTTCTGATTTAGCTCTGTGTGACTTCTGGCTATTCAGCAAACTCATACGACCGCTACGGAGAAACAGTTTTGAGTAAATTGAAGACATTAAATGTGAATCGCTACGCGCATCTATAGAACTAGAGATTTGCGACACTTTTGGCTTGGAATTTTTAAATTTTTGAGAACCTATTAAAAATTCTTGGAACACATTGTCTTCTCAGTTTCCTACAAAATAAGCTTGATTTCTCTCGACCTCATAAGACATTTTTCTGCAACTAGCCTTTCTTCACATTAACCCATGGATTTTTTTTTTTCGTTCTAAACTTTTAAACCTACATCACTTATATGAGAAGGGTAAACTATCTGCATAAAATTTATATCTCACTTATTTTGCCATTAAGTACTACATTTGGCCACTGACTCATTAGTCAAAATCCAGCAGAGAATACATGTATGTATGTAAGTTTATAACCACCAGTTACATGCTTATAAATGTATAGTGTATGAATAAACAGTAAAAATACCTAGAAAGCTATAAAAAGAATAAAGCAATAAAAGAAGTGCAATAACAAAACAATCGGATAATTACTGGAACGGTGAAATTGATGAGACGGGAAAGTAATTTTGAAAATACAAGCAAAAAGGACAGTAAATTGATACAACTATATGAGAAAAGGTAAGTAATATGAGAAGAGCAACAAAATGCCAATATTATAAAATTTTAGTTAGGGGGTCTTCTTTAATAATTTGTGGTGCACAGTTTTTTTTTTTGACAAGACGAGCATTCCAGAAGTATTAAACAGTATTAAAGAAAATATTTGAGTTTTGTTATTCTTTTGAGCTCTGGGTTTCAAGAAATGT